TTTCACCAGTGCCCATTCTCCACCACCAATGATCCCAGTATCCCTCCCACCAACCCCACCCCACCCCACCCGCGCCTCTGTAGCAGGGCATTCCCTTTTGCTCTCTCTCTCCTTATGAGTGTTGTGGTTTGCAATATAGGTATTGAGTGGCCATCATTCGGTCTATAGTCTACTTTCAGCACGCATCTCCCATCCTGAGTGGGCCCTCCTAGCACCCCATACTTGGTGATTCCTTCTCTATCTGAACTCCCTTTTCCCCCAGCATGTGAGATCGGCTTCCAAGCCATGGAACAATCCTCTTGGTATTCATCTCTACTATTCTTGGGTGTAAGTCTCCTATTCTGTTACTTTATATTCCACAAATGAGTGTAATCTTTCTATGTCTGTCCCTCTCTTTCTGACTCATTTCATTTAACATGATACTCTCCATGTTGATCCACTTATATGCAAATTTCAGGACTTCATCCTTTCTAACAGCTGCATAGTATTCCACTGTGTAGATGTACCAAAGTTTCTTTAACCAGTCATCTGTTCTTGGGCATTCGGGCTTTTTCCAGATTCTGGCTATTTAAATAGTGCTGCAATGAACATACAAGTGAAGATATTATTTCTACTATACTTTTTTGCATCTCTGGGATATATTCCCAGAAGTGGTACTGCTGGGTGAAATGGGAGCTCAGTTTCTAATTTTTGGCGCAAAAGGCACATTTACAAAATGCTCTTCATCACTAATTACCAGGGAGAACCAGTGAAATGAGTCAGAAGGAGAGGGACAGACATAGAATGACTGCATTCATTTGTGGTACATAATCTATCTCTCTATCTATCTATCTATCTATCTATCTATCTATCTATCTAGTAAAAGACTAAAACCCATGGCCAGGGAAAACAGGAGTTAGGAGGACTGGTCAAATGATTGTACCTAATCACAAGTGTGTGGGGGGCAGAGGGTAGGTAAGATAGAGAAGAGGCTGGTATGACAATAATAGCTGGGAATGATCATGCTGGACAAGACTGAGTGTTAAAATTAGGTAAAGGGATATTCTTTTTTTAAAAATTTTTATTAGTGAAACACCATATAGGGATATTCTTTTTGTGTGTGTAGGAGTACTGCTATTTATTCAGCCACTGATTAGCTGATTGAATTGTGCACGAACTCCACCTTACTTTTTTTTTTTCATTTTTGTATACCCCCATCCCACAACCTCCCCCTACCTGTGGGCAGATGATTTCCACATTACTCTCTCTCTACTTTGATCACCTTCAATATTTTGACACCAGACCCACCATTAATATTTGAGATTTTACCCTAACACTCAGATCTGTTGAAAAGGCAACAATAGACAATTTGTGTTCTATTGCTGGTTATGAATAACATATGATGTCGCGTGGCTGCAGTAGGGCCATGTGGTTTTGAAATTCCAAAATTTTAACACTTAAATCTGGAGGAATTTCTGCCAAAAGCCACTGGGTTTCGAGATCTGCTCCTGAGTCTCTGGGATCATGGCCGTTGAGCAGCTTGATGAGGAGCCAGAGAGGCCTTCGTGGGCGATGACTTGGGGTCTTGTTGGGGTGGGGAGGACAGGCCTGGCTCCACCCCATCCCGTGAGGCCCAACAAGTTTCGTCACAACAAGCCTGACTGTCCATTGGCCTCTGGAGGATGACGGACACTGAGCTGCCAGAAGGAAACAGGCAGAGGGACAGCACCCTTTTCCCCCAGGGGTGGCCCGGCGACAGTAACCTACTGCGGGGTACGGACACATTTCTGCCAAAAGTCGCTGGGTTTCGAGATTTGTTTCTGAGTCTCTGGGATCAAGGCCGTTGAGCAGCTCGATGAGGAGCCAGAGAGGCCATTCGTGGGTGATGACTTGGGGTCTCGTTGGGGTAGGGGGGACAGGCCTGGCTCCCCCCCCCATCCTGTGAGGCCCAACAAGTTTCGTCACTGCAGGCCCAAGCCTGACTCTTCAATGGCCTCTGGAGGATGATGGCCACCAGGCCACCAAGAGGGAGCAGGTGGAGGGACAACACCCTTTCCTCTCTGGGGTGGCCCGGTGACAGTAACGTACTGTGGGGCCCGGATGCATTTCTGCCAAAAGCCACTGGGTTTTGAGATTTGTTTCTGAGTCTCTGGGATCATGGCCGTTAAGCAGCTTGATGAGGAGACAGAGAGGCCATTCGTGGGCGATGACTTGGGGTCTCGTTGGGGTGGGGAGGACAAGCCCGGCTCCACCCCTCCACCCCCATCCCATGAGGCCCTGTGTGTCTCGTCACTGGGGGCCCAAATGTGACTATCCAGTGGCCTCAGAAGGATGGCGGCCACTGGGCCACGAGGGGGAACAGGCCAAGGCACGAAACCTATTCCCACCTGGGTTGGCCCAGCACCGGTAGCCTACTGCAGAGACCAGACGCATTTCTACCTAAAGCCACTGGGTTCTGAGATTCGTTTCTGAGTCTCTGGGATCATGTCCATTAAGCAGTTCAATCAGGAACCAAAGAGGCCTTGCCTCCAATTATATAGCTGAGCTGGAGGTGGTTTGTGGGTGTGTTTCCCACATACCTAACTTTTGGCCGTTTACTTTCTTGGTAAACTTTGCCCCAAGTTTTTGTGGTCTAGCCAAAGGCACAGCAGCGATTTTGGGGTATCTGGAAGTCTGAAGGCACCATGAGGTTGCTGATGCACTCACCTCACAGGTACAGACTGACCTGCTGGCGGCACCATACCCCCACATATAGAGATATTCTTGATAAACTTTTAGTACCAGTATTGCAAAGCACAATGCCCAAAGAAAGAGAGACAGAGACAGAGAAGCGCCTGACATAGAGGCAGGCAGGGGTTTGGGGGTTGGGGAGTTGTAGGATAACATTGGTTTGTCCTTTCTGCCTTGCTGCAGGGAGCTTAGGTTTATTGGGTTACTCCCATCACAGTGCTCCCATTTCTGTTTATTTGTAACCTCTTTCTTTGTGCTGTTGACTTGTAAATACTGCTTTTTTTCTTCTCCTTAAGTCCTTTGCATAGGTAATTCAGAGCAATGTCCTTCTTTGTATAGACACAGAAAGACAGTTAATGCTATGCTATGGTAACTTGGGAGTTAATTGACTCTGAATAATATTCACTCCCCGGGCATCTGTTCTCTCAATTTAAGCCTCAGTTGCCATTACTTCCTAGCATTCGACAAAAGCAGGATCCCGATGAGGGACTGGATGGACCCAGGGCAAGCTGTGAGCTGCCCTAGCATCAAAATGGGCCTGGCCAAAGCACCATAATACTTAACTATAAGAGCATGGTCATGGACAAATTCTGTCATGATCCAAAAAGTAATAACTGGATTAGGAGCCTGCTAGGGTTAGGAAAGATTAATCTGACCTGAGCACTGTAGTCTGAGATCTATATCAAGATGTCCCCAGGAGAGCACCCTACAAGCTCAATGTATCTCTGTGTCCATACAAAATAACTAATATTAGAAGTAGAATTAAGATGTTAATTAAGTTATTGGATTTAGGAGAGTAGAAACACCCCTAAGTGGTATTTCACCCTTAGGTGATGGGCAATCAGGAAGGGCTTTTCATATGTTGATTCTGCTATCCCCAATGTGGGGGAGTTGTGGAGAGAGATAGAGAGAGATAGAGATAGATAGAGAGAGAGAGAGAGAGAGAGAGAGAGAGAGCAGGGCAGCAAGAGCAAGATGAAGTGTGGAGAGACTAGCAAGGGGGACAGAGGGAGAAGAATGTAGGGGAAGAATTCAGGAGCAGGCGAGTGGAGTTACAAGAGTCAAGAGACGCAGCAGCAAAATGGAGCGCGGGGACATGAGTGGGAGAGACAGGAGGAGATGGCAATAAGGGGCAGTGTGAGACTAAAATGAGGAGCTCAGTGAGACTGGAACAGGTGCATGGGAAGAATGGAATAAATGGCAACTGATCAACCAACCAGCTTGGCCCTCATTTCCTCCTTCATCTGCCCATGGCATTGACCATCCCGGGTGGGTGAGCAGCCCCACTGAAAGCAGGCAGTGAGGGGCGGCAGGGCTCCCTAGCTGCCCTGGAGATTACACAGGGGGTGATGAGAGGTAACTTGGGGACACTGGTATTGGGAAATGAACACTGGTGGGGGATGGGTGTTGGAATACTGTATGACTGAAATCCAATCATGAACAGCTTTGTAAGGGTCTACCTCACAGTGATTCAATAAAAAAAGTTTAAAACAAGGTGTGAGCACCATAGCCAGTTCAACCCCAGGAAATCATTACCACCAGAATATGCTGGCGCACCCCGACTAAGTAAGTGTGACCCCCAGTGCGCACAGGGACTGGGACAGAAGTGTGTAATACTCAGTGGGCAGAGGAGAGTATGTGACCCCTGGCCAGCACCACAACGAAACATGACTGCTGGCCATCACAGCAGCAGCAACAACGGGAAGAGAGGAGACACTAATCTAAACATTCACATGATCAAATGGTAGCACTGCACTGTAGCACTGTGGTCCCATTGTTCATCCATTGTTCATTGGGCACTAGTAACATCTCCATTGTGAGACTTGTTACTGTTTTTTTGCATATCGAATACGCCATGGGGAGCTTGTCAGGCTCTGCCGTGTGGGCAGGATACTCTTGGTAGCTTGCCAGGTTCTCTGAGAAGGACGGAGAAATTGAACCCCGGTTGGCCGTGTGCAAGGCAAACGCCCTACCCACAAATGGTAAATCTTATAATTAGCTGGTTTATATATTTTTTTTCTTTTAAGGAGGGGTGGATGGGTTTGTGATTACCCAGCAGTGCTCACTCGTTCAGGATTCCAGGTAGTCAGCTGTGTGCAAAGCAAGCACCTTCCCACCTCTGGCCCCTGATTTACCTATCAGAGAAGAAGGATGGTCAAATGCTCTACTTTGAATCTATACCCTATTTCCCTCCCAATATAGCTTCACCCTCGTGCTCAGCAAAGATCTATAAAATGATCTTAAAAAAGATAAAACAGATGTGCCAAAAAAATGATAAACCATAGTAACCACTTTAATGTTAAAAATATTTATTTTTCTAAAAGATCACACAAAAGTTGGGTAGAGAAAGGTCAACAAGCCTACATCAAATTTTGATGGAGGGACAAAATTTGATTTTGATTTTTCAAGGAGGGATAAAGAGCTGCCTACAGAAAGTGGTAACCTAGAGCAAAATGAGATATCTGCTGGATAGCAGAACTGGCAGCCCGGGTCAGTCACATTCACGAGCACCACTGAGGTGCAGAGGGATAGCCAGGTGGTAACCCCAGTTCCTCCTTTTCAGGAAAGGAGAAGTGGAGGTTCATTCTTTAGACATGTTCTTAATGGTCTTATGCTCCTTCACGGCTTTCTCCCAATTGCTGCCATTGAATTCCTCAATGACTACACTCCGCACGGTGCCCTCATCCAGGCAGTGTGGGGCAATTCCTAAAGGAAAGTGAGACAAAGAAAGAAGAGTTCCAATATGAGTGAGACCAGGTATCTCTTGGATTTTCTCTTGGACAAACCCACACTTGCCAATCTGACTTTTCAAGTGGTAACTAAAGCTTACTATGCCAGTTTCCTTGCTTATTGTCAACCCTTAGGAGATCAGTATGGCCAAAGTAGAACATCTTCATGTCCCAAGCTAAAGTATGAAAGAGTAAAAACACTCAAGCCAGAGTGACCTCTGAGTGGCAATCTGAAAAATTCACAAGTCTTTCTCAGGGAATAAATAGCTTTCCAACAATTAAATAACTCTAACAGTCTCTAACCTTCCCATCTAGACTTTTTTGATACTTCAGCAAAAGCTTTTGCTGTTCCTCAGGGAAGGCAGGAAGAAGACTTCATGAGACAGATGAGGAACAAACAGGAGCTGCTAAGAAAATGGGGTGAGGTGGACAAGGGTAATGCCATGAACCCCCCAAAACATAAAGTTCAAGATGGACAGTCCCAGTTGCCCCTCCACAGTTCTGAAGGCGGCACCAATATGAGGGACAACTGCCTCAGAAATACAGCCAACATTTCTACTCAATTCATACTGCAACTGATGTCATTCCGAGTAACAAATTAATCCCCTTGACCTTTTTCCACACAGGACCAGAAGAGGGGCTGAGATGTTCTCCTGCTTAATGTTCCTAGCAAACAAAAACATTTATTGGTGGTATGATCAATATTCTTCACCTTCACCCCAGGCCCCTCTGTCTTCCCTCCTCACTCTGCTTCTATTTCATCACCCTTGGCATTGGGCCCTGGTAGTACCAGTAAACGAGGAGTCAGGATCTGTCTGGTTTCTCAATAGTAAGATCCAGTTTTACACTCAATCACTGCAGAAAAGCTCTGCTGAGGAGTTTGTTCTTGAAAATATGTATGTGGAAGGACCATACTCAGCAGGAAGCTGAATGTCAGTACTTAGCTCTCCAACACCATGTTAACCCAGAGCAACCATGTGACCTCTCCCGACAAGCCTGAGCTTGTGGCCCATTCCTTTCACTTACCGAAGCCTCCAGGGTTTGAGCGAGGAGTGTAAAAGCTCTGAACACCACATTTCTTACAGAAGGTGTGCTGTGCTTTGTGTGTATTGAACGTGTATGTGGTTAAGCTGTCGGCTCCCTGAATGAAAACAAAAAAATAAGTGTTCTCTTTTTACAAAGGAATTTTTTCAAGGGTTATTTTAAAAAAATTAATCTTTTACAATCCCCTCTGAGGGAAAGCTTTTCGTCAGGTTTTCAAGTTTCTAAGGACATGCCCAATAGCCCAGAGACGAAGAGGCTATCTGAGGACAGGAACACATTTGAAGTCACATGCTAGCGCAGGACAGCTCTCAGATTCTCTCAGGTCTACTCACACAGCACTATAGCCTCCAGCTTACCCTGATTATGGCAAGTCAGCAATTTCTGCTGAAATTACCCATGAAATGCCTGCTCTTGGGGCCTAACTAGATGGTGGAAGACAGTTCACCAGAGTGACAGATTTACTCTACAAAGTACACACTAAGAAAGAGAATAATTACCAGATATCCAGTTATCTGAGACAGAGAGAATTAATTTCCTTAATGGATAATAAAACAGAAAATTGGGAAGAGGACATGAACAGCAGTACAGAAAAAAAATGTTCCTTAATCATTAAATGATGTTCATTACATATGAACACTTGTTTTCAATGCTGGGAGGCAAAAATTTTAAAAGTTAGTGAATGTAATATTGATAAATATGCAGTTACATATAGTTATGAGAATATAAATTGGTAACATTTGGCAACATCTACCAAAAAATTTAAATGCCTAAATCCTTGAACACAGAAATTCTACTTCCAGAAAGTTAGAAGATAACATTCTAGAGTTATAGGATTCCATATTTATCTAATACATATGTATAGAAATATTAAAGTACTATTTATAAAGGCTGAAGATTGGAAATACTGAAAATGTCTATCAACACAAGGCTGGTAAAAATAATAAAATGAAAAACTAATAAAATTAACTATTTTACAACTCTTGAAAAGAATGAGACAATTCTACTTACTAATTAATATCAGTATGGAACAATCTCCATAGTTACACTCCATTATAAAATCAATGAAAAAGCAAGGTACAAACTGATTTGTATAACACGTCACCATTTCTATTTCTTTTAATAGGGGACTCCCAGTGGTGCAGGAGCTGAGGGACAGAAGACACTGATGGCAATGATCAGCCTGAAAAGAGGGTCTGTCAGGTTGAGTGCACAGGCCCGGCTAGGCTGTGGTGCTAGATTTGTTTGTTTTGTTTTGGGACCATACCCAGTGGTGCTCAGGATTTACTTCTGGCTCTGTGCTCAGGGATCACTACTGATAAGGCTCAGGGGACCTTACGTGGTGCCAGGCATTAAATCCAGGTTAGTCACATACATGACAAGTTCCCTACCTGCTATACTACCACTTTGGCCCCCTGGATGTTCTTAAGAACACCAGGGCAGTGCTTGGGAGTCATGTGGTACTGGGGGTCAAACTCAGGACTATGTACCTGTGAGTATGTGCTCTACCACTTGAGATATCTCTCTGTCCCTCACTTCTATTTGTGGAAAAGTAGTTTATATGAATATCAATATACACATAAAGATTACTGCTGGCATCGATGTGAATATGAAGAGCTATCCAAAAAATAATGGTTCAAATCCAGGGAAGGAAATTGGGTGGCTGAAAGTAGGAGGTAGAAGTTTCTTACTACTTCTAGACCTTTTTATATTTCTTGCCCAGTCACAAGCATACTACTCACCTGTGTTGAGGATATAGTTTAGTTGTAGGGCACATGTCTTGAATGTTTAAGTTCTGGGTTTAATCCCTGGCACCCAAAAAAAGTAGTATGCTTCATATACATACATAATGCACATACATACACAATGGACTACTCCTCAAGTATAAGAAAGAGGATTCTTGAACCCAGGAGATAGTTCAAAGAGCTGGAGAGCATGCTTCGCTGCTGGAATCCGGGGTTCAATCCCAGACACAAGATCCCTAGAGCCTTGAGGGGGAGTGATTCCCCAAGCATCATAACAGGAGTAGCCTTGAGCACTGCCAGGTGTAAACCAGAAACAAAATACAAAAAGAAAGATAGAAAAATTTGCCATTTGCAAAAGCATACATGAGGTTGGAGGGAATAATGTCAGTCAAAAAGAGAAAGACAAATACTAAAGTTACATTCATATGTGTTATATAAAGTCATAAAGCAAGGGAATAGACAAAAATAAACCTAAAACCAACACCTGAGTTTAGGCTACAGAACAGGGAGCGAGGAAGGCTATAGACAGGGGCACAAAGGGTCAAGAGGCATCAACAGATGGAAGTAGAGGAAGTACCTCGGTGGTGGCATGGTGTGACAACCTACTTTTGAAGAGGAGTGAGAAAACACTCCTGAAAACATATATTATCTAAATTAATGTAACCACAATTAAAAATAGTGGGTACTATTTAATTAGTCTTTGGGTGGAGTGATAGCACAGCGGGTAGGGCATTTGCCTTGCATACGGCTGACCTGGGTTCAATTCCTCCATCCCTCTCGGAGAGCCCGGCAAGCTACCGAGAGTATCCCACCTGCACGGCAGAGCCTGGCAAGCTCCCCGTGGTGTATTTGATATGCCAAAAACAGTAACAAGTCTCACATTACTGTTGCCCACTCGAGCAAATCGATGAACAATGGGAGGACAGTGCTACAGTGCTACAATTAGTCTTTACATTTCTTGATTCTGTTTGTTTTGGGACCACTCCTGGCAGTGCTCAGGTCAAACCTGGGGCTCCTGCATGCCAAGCATGAACTGCAGCCCTGGCTTCACTGTCTTTCCTTCTGCTTTTTCATCCCCTTCTTTTGTTTTAGATCTGAGCCATACCTGGCTATACAGAGGGCTTACTCCTGGCTCTGCATTCAGGAATAACTCCTAGCAGTGCTTGGGGAACCGTATGTGATGCTGGGGATCAAATCTGGGCTGGTTATGTGCAAGGAAAGTGCCTAACCCATTGTGCTATATCTCTCCAGGCCAAAAAGGACCAAGGGTGTAATAGAACACTTGCCTTGCATGTGTAAATCCCTGAGTTCAATCCCTAGCACCCATGGCAATAACAACATAATCTTTTTTTAAAAATAAACATAAAATCTACGTGACAAAGGAATTTAAAGCCTCCCCTACAAGAAGCCCAGACATGCTCTCTGCCTCTGTACCTGCCTGTGGTCCTTGTTGTATCACAATGCTGGGATGGTGCTGAAAACACAGGCTCTCAGGTACAATCTATACCCCAAAGTACACTTTTGCTCACCAAACGCTCTGCACCCAGTCTGCCCTCTGCACTAACCTTCAGGAGTTTGAAGCGAGAAGCTGGAACAATGAAGTGTCTATTCTGCTTCTTCTTGCAAATGCTGCAGCTACAAAAAGAACACATTCCAGATTGTAAATAGCCCTCTGCAACCTCTGAGTCCTGAAGGGGTCTGAGCTACTATGTTCTAAGAGTCAGCTCACCCAGAAGTCACCCTTTTAGCTCACCCCTTTCAGCATCATTCAGGGAAGGGAGCTTCAGCAGATGGACTGGCCATCTGGGGCATCTGGCCTCCATAAATAAAAGGGCCTGCAAGTCCCACAGTCAGTTGCCTAAACACCCTCCTCTAACCCGATCCTCCCCACCTCAACACGCCCCCCCCGCCCCCCGCTCCCCAGATAAAGGAAACTGCTAGATTGCAGAGACACTTGGAAAACATTAAGGCACTGCTACAATCTTAATGCTTTTCAAATATTCATACTCAAATGGCAAATGGACAAGCTTAGGTTCCCCTCTCCTTATCTTCACATCACAGAAAGTCTAGCTCCAAGTGAAATAGTCTCAGAAATATCAATTTATTAGTCTACCTTTTAAATTATTCTAATTTAGTAGAGTCCTCTAGCAAATTACCCTGTGGTATTTATTCTCCAATCTGGCCTTCACTGTGAGTAATATACTAGAGTCTGAGTAATTCAAACTAGCTCACTCAAGCAAATTCATGGTATTTATTATTCATACATAATTCAAGTAACCATAATACCTAGGGGCAAAATAGGCTGGATATTGCTATATGGCAACTACTGCTCCAGAAATCAGAGCCTGTGGTCCTTGTTGTATCACAATGCTGGGATGGTGCTGAAAACACAGGCTCTCCACAGACTCCGGAAGCTCTAGCTGTCTCATTGAACAGCAGTGTCAGAGTTCCAGACAGACACACCCTATTCCCCTACTCTGAAACTGCCAAATCTTTTCTTTCAGTCGCTGGCCTGAGCATCTTCTACTAATCTTTTTCCTGACCCACCAGCAATATTAGTCTGAGGATTAATTTTGTCAGAGGATGTTGCTTTGTGTTACTCAGGGCAGTGCTGTAGGATTGAAATCTCTCTCTCTCTCTCTCTCTCTCTCTCTCTCTCTCTCTCTCTGTTTCTCTGTGGGCTGGTTATGTGCCTCTCCCTCTCTTCCTCTTTCCCTCTTCCTCCCCCTCTCTTATTCCTACCCTCAATTGGCACATGCATACACACACAATAAATTCAAGTTATTTTTAGTCTCCCCCATCATTCTAAGAATTTATATTATTTGAAACTTCAAGCACGCATAAAAGGACAAAAGAATAGCAAGCCCTTACCCATCACTGACCCCAGTAACTATGTTTATAGCCAATGCTCTTTCAGCTACCCCCGAGCTCCCCAGGTGATTTCTGGAGCAATGCATCTCTGCACTTTAGTTCTTTCAAGTTAACCTGGTAAGAGAAACACTCACTTGCAGTCAAAGATGTGCAAGTCAGCTGACGCCCAAACTTCAAAACGAACTGCTCCACAGTGGCAGCCTCCTGTGTGTTTCACAAGGCCCTGATATTCACTAAATGAAACAAAAATCACAAAGATAAGATTTCTAAAGAGTCAAGAAGAATCTCACTGCACTACTCACACTTTTTCTTGATTGTTGGACAAGATGGACAGTCTTTCCATCCAACATCCAGATGCATTACTGCTTTTTGTTGTTTGGTGGGAGGGGGGAGGGGCAGCAGCCTGGCCACACCCTATGATGCTCAGGAATTATCCTAGCTCTCTGCTCAGTGATCACTCCTGGCGGGGCTCTGAGGACCATATGTGGGTTGGGGATAGAACCCAGGTCAGCCATAAGCAAGGTAAGCGCCTCACCCACTGCACATCTCTCTGGTCTCTGAATTTCTTTTTCTTTTTTTTTTCTTTTTTTTTTCCCTTTATTTTATTTTATTGTTTTTTACAGTTGTAGATTTACAATTTTTTGTGCTTTGGTTTCAATTATACAATGATCAGATACCCATCCCTCCACCAGTGCCCATTTTTCCACCACCATGGATAATATCCCTCCCACCCCCATCCCCCCATCCCCCCTGTCTCTGTGGCAGGGCAATCCCCTGTGTTCTCTCTCTCCTTTTGGGTGTTGTGGTCTGCAAAAGAGGCATTGAGTGGCAAACATGAATTTCTTTTTCGAAGAGGCTACCTCAATTTACAAAGAGAAGATTTAGTATCTTCTTCTCATGAGCTCTTTATTTTCATACATTTTATTAAATTTCAAAACAAGCATAGGAATTGGGCAGACACTCTTAATCCCACCAAACATTTTGTTTATATGTAAAATACCTACTCACATTTTTTGTGAGTTGGGGACTAGGGAGAAAGCAATAAACAAGATACAATAGACATGGATCCCAGCTTTTCTAACCTTAACCAGTCATCAAACAAATTACCCAAAAATATCTTAAAGAACTGAATAAAGATAGTAGAGCCTGCTAAAGAAAATTAAGAGAGAGGCATCTAACTGATTTTTATTTATTTATTTGGATTCAGGAACTTAGGAATAAGTGCAGTGGTCAAGGATGGATGTCTTACATGTAGCCCACCTGGATTCCACCCCTAGCACCACAAGGTCTCCCAAGCATTGCCAGGTGTAGTACTGGAGGGCCCCTGAAACCAGTGGGTGTGGGTCCTGGTGACCCAGATAATACCCAGCACCACAGGGTTCAGACTCTTACACTGAGTCACAAACCTGATTGGCTAGGAGTCACTGGGGGGGGGGGGGGTGATCTGCATACAGTCCCCCAAGTAGCACAGAACCAAATATGCACCCAATTTTTTTTGGCAAATTTTTCTATATCCCCCTCCTGTACTTCTCATGTATGTGAATTTGTAATATAATTTTAATCCTCTTAAAATATACAGAAGTCAGGTACTTAACTGAACATTAAGATCTGATAAATATCTAATTGTTTTCCAAAAGGGCAATACAGTTATCAGGAATGAGAAAATATTTCACTATTCTTTCTCAAACAACATTATAGGGGTAAAAGTTTGCCAAAATTTTAAAATTATTTGTTTGCTAAAATTTTTTTTGGTGGTGGCTGGCAGAGGGACAAAGAGGGACAAAGCCACGCTGGTTCCGGGGCCGAGATCTCCAAGCCTACTCGGATTGGAGTCGAGCATCCTCCACCCAGATCCTCCAAATTCCAGTAGGCGGGGGTCACACCCACCACCTGGCCCCCTGGCGCCGTGTAATCCCATCAACGGCCAAGACTCAGAGACTATAAAATCCAGCTCCTGGAACTGCGCGGCCGCATTTGTGGCTGCGTGACATCTTATCAGGACATCTTTTTATGACATCTTATTATCTCATTCCTACTTTGGACAAACTTGCAGGCTATCGAATGTAGCCTGCCCACAGGGCAGAGTCTGGCAAACTCCCCGTGGCGTACCAAATATGCCAAATACCAGTAACAATGATGGGTCTCATTCTCCTAAAGAGCCTTGAATATAATCTCAGGGCTAGGATGAAAGAGACGTTACTGGGGCCTGCTCGAGGCAATAGACGAATAACAGGATGATGAATGAATGAAAAAAAATTTTTTTTTGGTGGGGGAACATTCAGCAGTGCTCAGGGCTTACTCTTGGCTCTGCATTCAGGGGTCATTCGTGGAAGGCTTGGGGAACTGTATGGGATGGTAGAGATCTAACCCAGATCAGCTGCATGCAAGGTAAGCACCCTACCCACTGTACTATTGCTCTGGAGAAATTTATTTGGTTATCAAGAATAAATTCACACAAGACAAAATCACAAAGAATGCAATGGTTTTTGCAAGATTTTTTTTTTTTTTTTGCTTTCTGGGTCACACCCATTGATGCACAGGGGTTACTCGTGGCTCTGCACTCAGGAATTGCCCCTGGCAGTGCTCAGGGGACCACATGGGATGCTAGGAATCTAATCTGGGTTGGTCGAGTGCAAGGCAAATGCCCTACCTGCTGTGCTATTGCTCCAGCCCCACAAGATCTTTTTTTTACATTATTCCCCTATGTGGAATTCTAGAAAATTGAAAATGTTACTAGAAGAGATGAATAAAATTATTTCTTATCTTTTAAAAAAGAAGAAATTCAAGGCCAGAGAGATAATATAGCAGGTAAGGCACTTGCCTTGCATGTGACTAACCTTTGTTCACTTCCAGGTACCACATTGGTCCCCTGAACCCTGTGCTAGGAATGATCACTGAGTACAGAGCGAGAGTAAACCTAAGCATTGCCAGGTGTGGCCTCCCAAACAAAACAAAATGAAGGATAAATTCAGTTAATTTAAAATATTTTAAAGTTTTCTACATACACTTTTATTGTAAAAACTTAAAACATTACAAACTTTAAAATAAGTGTCCTATAATCCTAACACCCAAAGAGGTCCTCCCGTTGTTCATCGATTTGCTCGAGCAGGCCCAGTAACGTCTCCATTGGAGACTTTGTTGTTACTGTGTTTGGCATATCGGATACATCACGGGGAGCTTGCCAGGCTCTGCCATGCGGGCGAGATACTCCCGGTAACTTGCCGGGCTCTCCGAGAGGGGCGGAAGAATCGAACTCGGGTCAGCCATGTTGGCCGCCTGCAAGGCAAATGCCCTGCCACTGTGCTATCGCTCCAGCCCGAAGAGATCCAAAATAAAACATTTGTTATTTAATCCTATTTTTTTCCATTTGACATTTTAGCAAAAAAGGTTATATATTCTCATTACATAAAGTTAATTTAAATTTAGTGGTTTTTACTTTTAATAAATGTATGTACTCATGCCAATATAGTAGGTTAAAATTGAAGTAAAATTTTAAGCAAACTTCAAGTTTCAAAGATCTTTATATATTCTATATCAAACAGTAATTGGCACATTTAGATGCTAAAAAATATTTGAGAGATAACAGATGTTAAAAAAAAAAAAGTTTTGTTGCTTAGGCCCAGTCTGGAACTTGTGTTTTTGCATGCTGAAGGTCCCAACTCCTCCCCTGAGCTAGCCAGGAGGGAATCCCTGGCACCCAGCTGGAAGTAGACCCTGAGCAGCGTCAAATGTGACCCCCAAACGAAAACCAAAATATTGTTCAGTCTATGATAAAAGACAGTAAATCAAAAAGTGAAGCACCAGAAAACCTCTTGAGAAGGGTCCGTCTGAGAGAACTCTTTTTTTCTGAAACAGACAAAGTAATCCTCGGGTAATTAGAAGGAAATAATTGGGCTTTTCCTCCCTCAAATTTTGGTTGTTTTTAATTCGAAAAACAACACAGACATTCAAGGGGAGCACTAAACAACTTCTCTGATACCACTGTTCTACAGGTAGGGGTCTAGATACGATCACATGTGAGATAACCCAGGCCAGGTACCAAAAGCTTGTTTCTAACGGCACCGACACGCAGCCCTCCTCGGACATCTGGAGAAGTGGGTTTTCTTCCCGCAGTACCACTTGGGGTGAGCCTCCCCGGAGCATCCGAGCATCCACCGCAGATGGCTCCTTCGTTGGGAGTCTCTAGGGGGAACAATCCCCACCACACACACCCCACCGCTCCCCCAGAATCCTGGGACCAATCCTCCGCCAGCCCGCTCCCCCGTAGCAGAGCTGCGACCAAGACTCCCCGGATCCCGGGCCAATCCCCCCACCAGCCCACTCACCCATAGCAGAGCTGCGACCAATACTCCCAGGATCCCGGAATCAATCCCCCGCCAGCCCGCTCCCCCACAGGATCCCGGAATCGATCCCCCCTCCAGCCCGCTCCCCCACAGGTTCCCGAGATCGGTCCCCCCCCCCGCCAGCCCGTTCCCCCACCGGATCCCGGGACCGATACCCCCCCCCCCCAGCCCGCTCCCCCATAGCAGAGCCGCGACCAATACCCCCAGGATCCCGGGACCAATCCCCCACCAGCCCGCTCCCCCAAAGGATCGCGGGATCAATCCCCAGCCAACCCGCTCCCCCACAGGATCCCGGGATCGATACTCTCTCCAGCCCGCTTCCCCACAGGATCCCGGGACCATCCCCCCGCCAGCCGCTTCCCCACAAGGGAGCCGGGAACAATGACAGGGTTTCGCCCGCCAGCAGGCTCCAGACTATTGACCGTTTTCCTCCGCCCCGCGTCTGTCCCACCCACAGCCCCGCGCGGTAACGGTGCGGTGCCGGCGGGCGGGGGTCGCCTTTCCGGGAGACCTTTGTGTCCGCCCCGCGCCTGGCCCGCCAGCACAACCGGACCGAGCGAGCCCGCAAGAGCCGGCGGGCCGGCCGGCCGCACTCACTAGGTGTCCAGCAGGAGCTTGGCGGCGCCCTCAAACGTGAGCCGCTGCCGCTTCTGGAACGTCTCCCAGCGCTCCCGCTGCTCCCCCAGGTCCAGCGCGGACCCCGAGGGCGTCGGGGTCGCGGGCGGCGGCGCGAGCTGGGGCGGCGGCTCCCCGGTGCCCGCCTCCTGGGCCCGCCGCTGCTTGGCCGACGGCGGCGCGGCCTGGCCCGCCGAGCGTCTGGAGCCGCCGGGCGCGGGGGCGGCGGGAGCGGCCGCGGGGGAGCGGGGGGCCGGGGGCCGCTTCTGCCGGAGCGCTGGGCCGGCAGCGCTGCTCCGTGCCCGCCGCATGGTGCCCGCAGCCTGGCGCAGGCCTCGCTGTGGGCGCGTCCCCGCCGCTCGGCGCGCTCCTGCCCGCCCGCCGCCGGTCCAACCAGGGGGCGCTGCGCCTGCGTGCCCCGACGCCGACCCGACCCCCTGCTGGCGCCCGGGCCGCGCCCCGAGACCACCTGCCGGCCCGCGTCGGAGCCTCTCGCGGCCTAACGGGACTGTGCCTCCGGTCCGTTCCCGCACCGGGGCCCGGTGGCACCAGCCGGCGCGCTCCCCTCTACCTGCTGATCCGGGTCAGCCTTGAATTGCCGCCTCTTCGGTGTGGACTGCTTGCACAGTATGTACCTTGCAAGAACCACTGCGCACCCCAAACGAGCTAATGCTCTCAAATGCCGCGCTTCGGCTACCTGCTCAAGAGTCGAAATCAAAGTCTTTAAAAAGAGGTAGGACAGGGTTAAGTCGCCGAGGCCCACCCAGCTCATCCCCAGCAGAGTCCGGAGAGGCTCCACCTCTACACCCCTGTGGCACAGAAGAGCAGCGAGCGCGCGCGCGCACACACACACACATCTTCAATGTAGTCTTAACAAGTGTTTAAGGCAATATGCATAACATACCTAGTTAAAGTATATAAATCATTGTAAATCAATGTCTTGAGAATACTGATCTTTAATAGATGCTTAACTGTGACTGAACACCCCCCCCCCCACTAAATTTTGTTATTATGGTTTTGCTAAGCAGAGCACCAGTTTAAAGACAAAAATCACATAAACTAATGATGTAACCAAGATACTTTAGGAACCCAGATAGTTTCTAAACCTGTTAGTTTCTGTTTTATGCATATAGTCAAATAAGTTATTCTTTTACTTTTTCTATTTGTATTTGTTTTCTGCTTTAATTCTTTTCTCTTTATTCTGTTCTTGTTTATCGTGCCATTAGGTTTTTTGTTTTGTTTTGTTTGGGGACCACCCCAAAGATGTTCCAGGATAACTCCAGGCTCTGCACCCAGGCATCATTCCTGGTGGAGCTCTGGGAACCATATGGAATGCAGAAGATCGAACCCAGCCAGCCACACACAAGGCAAGCACACTACCTGCTGTACTATTTCTCCAGCCCCAACCGCTTATTTTTAAAATAGAGAATTAAATTATGGCAATCATTCAAGGGATTGTTATGACACTATGACAAACATTTCATACAAGGGAATCTTATGACAGTATCAAAGGGGACATTTTGATAAATATTTGGAATTAAAATAGACTACTGGGGGCTGTAGAGATAGCACAGCGGGTAGGGTGTTTGCCTTGCACGCGGCTTACCCGGGTTCGATTCCCAGCATCCCGTATGGTCCCCTGAGCACCGCCAGGAGTAACTCCTGAGTGCAGAGCCAGGAGTAACTCCTGTGCATCGCCGGGTGTGACCAAAAAAAAAAAAATAGACTACTGCATGACAAAGATTACAGAGCAATGCATATGAAATGATTACTCTTTTCCTCTAGGATTTTGGGCTGGAGCAATAGCACAGCAGGTAAGGCATTTGCCTTGCATGCAGCTGACCCGAGTTCGATTCCTCCATCCCTCTTGGAGAGCCCGGCAAGCTACCAAGAGTATCTCGCCCACTCGGCAAAGCCTAGCAACCCCCCCCCCCCCACGTAAGGAATTCAATATGCCAAAAATAGTAACAAGTCTCACAATTTGTTGTGAGACATTACTGGTGTCGCTCGAGCAAATCAATGAACCATAGGAGGACAGTGCTACAGTGCAGGACTTTGGGCCACATCCTGCTGAGTTTGGTTGCTCAGAGGACCCTATGACACCCCGAAGAGAGGATCATATTGTGCCAGTGATTAAGCATGTAAAACACATGCTTCATACCTTTGAGCATCTCCCTCAGGCCAAAGAAACTTTTTTTTTTTTAAATCTTGGTGCTGGGGAATCAAATCCAAGGACTTATACATGCTAGGCAAGTTCTCCATCACTAAGCTATGTTTCCATACTGATCCCATTTTTGTTAAGGTATACATGTGTGTAGAATTTTTTGAAGTCTAGTGCTATCCTAAATTGCTATTTACATTGGTTATTTAGAGAGGAAGAGAATAACTAGGGCCTTTCACATTCTAATTTGTTCATTTCTGTATGATTTATTTTTCAGTGCTGGGAATCAAACCTAGGGCCCAATATATGCAAGGCAAGGGCTCTGCCGAGTCACATCCCCAAACTGGCTTAGATTTTGATATTGACTTGTATTGCTTGCATAGTCCAGGAAAATAGTAAACATATTTATATTGTTTTGTTTTTATGGTTTTTTGTTTATTTTGTTTTGGGCCCAGACCCAATGGTGCTCAAAGAGCACTTCTAGCATGGCATAGGGGACCATATGTGGTGCTGGGAAACAAACCAAGGCAAACACTTTGCCCACTGTATTATCTCTCTGGTCCCAAAACATTTATATTCTGAAGAACAAAAAATAGACACTTCTGGAGAAAACAAATTTTCTTCTTTATATAGCAATCCTTTTTTTTACTGGGGTGTCTATGTGTTTGATATCATGAACAATATTGAACCCATTTTATGAGATTTGGCACATTCTTTTTCTACAATGCTCACCTATCAGGTGTTTCCACCAAATGACACTTAAGCTCTGAAGAAGCTTCAGAACTGCTACTTGGTTTAAACATCCCAGAATATCTATCATCATAGGAAAAATAGAAATGTCTACCAAATAAAAGTCACAGTTCTGGAGAGGAATGGGTATTTAGTGCTCTGCTTGGTAGAAGTCATTAGGTTTTAGAGGGGGAAATGATGGGATATGATGGTTATGGTTACTTACTTATTTCTAATACTATTTTAGATAGACTTTAAGAGTTTTGATGAATTAGAGAACTTGCATGGAATTCTGTCCCAGTGGAGCAGCTGAGATCCTTTGTTTCCCCCATTGCTCTTTGAGTTTAAGGGTATTAATGGTGGCGCTTTAGATTCCCAGTTACCTCAGAACTGATCTGCTCTGCTTATTTTATACCAGAGGGCTACTGCTTATTTTATACCTCTGTTGTTCAGATTACTTTTCTTACCATGGAATGATATTTGAGTATAATAAGGAGATCTTCAACTAGTTACATTAATTGAAATTTGTAGAGGTATTCTATCTGTGAATTTGGACTCTGTGTTATGCTACCTGCCCACAATGTGAGGGGTGGGTGCAGTAATACTTGCATGTGACTAGGAGCTGACCCATCCTGCAGCCTGGCTGGGGCAAGAGAGAGGGTGAGTGAGATCCCGGTTTTCCTGAGCACACCTGATTGTGAACTCAAAAAGCCGAATACATATTCTTCTCTAGTGCATATAGAACATTTGCCAGAATAGAGCACATATTAGGACATAAATCTGAGTTACAAAAATTCAAACTAATAATAACACCAGACATATCAGGTCACAATGCCAGAGAGATATAAATTAACTATAAAAAGTAAGTGTGGAGAAACTGTAACACCTAGATACTGAACAATATGTTGGTAAATAACTACTGGATCAAAGAGGGAATTAAGGAAGAAATGAAAAGATTCTTTGAAACTAGTTGGAAATAAGTGATCAAAATCTATGTGACACAGCAGTACTTAGAGAAACGCATAGTAATCCAGGCCTACAATAGGAAAGATAAAATCAACAACCTAAATGCACATCTTAAATATCTGGAGAAACAATAACAAATGAATCTAAAGACTAGCAGAATGAAGGAAATAATAAAAACCAGAATAGAAACTGATGTAAAAAACTAAGAAAACAATCCAAAGAATCAATGAAATTAAAAACTGGTTCTTCAAAAGGATAAAAAAGATAAACTTTTGGCTAGACTCACAAGGAAAAAAAAAGAGGAAATGCTCATATAGATAAGATCAGAAGTGAAAGCTAAGAAGTTACTGTAGAACACTCAGAAACCTGTTTAGTTGTGGTGTTTGTACACACCTGGTTGTGGTGGGGTCACAAATAGCTATGGATCACAGACCACAGAGCTGCTAGCATTATTCTTGGTGTATTTGAATGGCACTAGAAATAAAACTCTCAGCCTTGCCTTACAAGATAAGTGTTTTAGCCATAATTACTATATTTTCACTTTTTAATGCGTATGGTCTTGATTTTAACTTTACCTGATGAGGAGCAGGTAGGGCATTTGCCTTGCATGCAGCTAACCGAGGTTTGGTCCCTGGCACCACATATGGTATGCCCAGACAACCTCCAGGAATGGCTCCTGAGCACAGAGTCAGTAGGAAGTCCTAGGCCAAGCAGGATAAGGAAAGAAACCAACCAACCAACCAACAACAACAACAAAAAATTGATCTCAACTTAGCTAATAATTCCACTTTCTCTTTTGATAATATTTATAGGACAAAGGCAAACAGGTCCTGGGGCTTATATCTCCAAGCTTGCTCGGATCGGGGCTGAACATCCTCCACCCACATCCTCCATCTTCCAGTAGGCAGGGGTCACACCCACCAACTGACCCCCCAGCACCGTGTAATCCCATCAACGGCCAAGACCCAGAGACTATAAAACCCAGCTCCCGGAAGAGTACAGCAGTCTCCTGCCCCCACACCTGGCTGTCCTCGCCAGGGCCCCTTGAAGGGGGGGTGGCGGGTTGAGTTTCCCTCCCCGTCCCGAGCAGAGCTCTAGCAGCCGAAGACCTCCAGAACCAGCCACAACCATGCTGAGACCACTCTCCACACACCTGAAGGTACCGGCAGAGGGACAAAGGCATGTGGGTCCCGGGGCTGAGATCTCCAAGCCTGCTTGGATCGGGGCTGAGCATCCTCCACCCAGATCTTCCATCTTCCACCCACCAACTGACCCTCCCAGCGCCGTGTAATCCCATCAATGGCCAAGACCCAGAGACTATAAAACCCAGCTCCGGGAAGCGCATGGCCGCATTCACGGCCATATGACATCTTATTATCTTATTCTTACTTTGGACAACCTAGCAGGCTACTGTATGTAACCTACCCACACGGCAGAGTCTGGCAAACTCCCTGTGGTGTACCCAATATGCCAAATACCAGTAACAATGATGGGTCTCATTCTCCTAACCCTGAAAGAGCCTTGAATATGGCACTT